GCAACGGAGGCTGGGCTACAAGGGGACAGAAGAGAGAACACAAGAAGGAATTAAGTGTACTAAACACAAACAGTCAAAAGGGAAGACAAAGGTACTGAAAAAGGGTAATTAAAACTCTGACAGAGTTGGAGAACCTTCCCAACACAGAAATATGTTTGGGGATGTTTCATTTTATAAATAAAGAGATGAACATAAGACTGCCTCATTCCAAGTGAGACCACTGGGCCATTTAGCTTAGCATTTGTCTACTATCATTGGCCACCAAATGAGAAGGGAGCACTCACTGGAGAAGGCCCTGATGCTGGGAAAGATTGAAGGTCAAAGAAGACGGGGACGGCAAAGGATGAGATGGTTAGACAGTGTCATAGATGCAACAAACATGAAATTGAGCAAACTTCAGAGGACGGCGGAAGACAGGAGGGCCTGGCGGGATATGGTCCATGGGGTCGCGAAGATTCAGACTCCACTGTGCGACTGAACATCAACAACTATCATTGGGTCTTGGCAGTGAAAGGTCTTTAACACCTGCTGTCAGACATCCCTTTTAGCTGAATATAGTGAGGATTGAGCCTGAGACTCCTATATGCAGAGACTGAGACTTTTGCCCTTCCCTATGACTAACAAGGGGAATGATAAGCATTCATAAAATTATTTGTGGGGGCAGAAGATTTTCACCTTTTCTCAGGAGCCATGAAACATTTAGCTGATTTGCAGTAGCTCAGGCTGGTCACAATGCAGACAGCAGTTTTTGAAGGAGGTGGGAGTTAGATTGCTCAGAATCAGGGTCCGTCACTGCCAGCAGCCCCTTCCTGTGGCAAAGACTAGTGGGAGAGAGGCTGGGGCTACCCACTGGTGACTCATTCCAGGTCTGGAAAAGAGATCGGGCAGAGGGGCAGGTCAGGAGCACTGACCTGCATTGGTTCGGGAGTCAGACTGCTTCTTGACCACAGTGAGTTTGTATCCATCACCATAAGTGCTCTTCAGGAAGAGGGGTGAGCCACAGCACTTCAGCTTCCCATGTGAGATAATAGCAATGCGATCCCCAAGGAGGTCAGCCTCATCCATGTGGTGCGTAGAGAGCAGGATGGTCCTCCCTGTCCAAGAAGAGCAGGAAAAGGGGAAGAATGACATCAGGAAGTACACAGCAAAGGTTGGAATGAGCTGCAACTTGAGATGAGGAGCACCTCTGAAAAAGGACTCCAAGGAGAGCTAGATAACTCACACAAGTAGGCAAACCATATAGGGCAGGAGTATGTACAACGCCCCAGGTTTTGCACCAGTCACTATTTGTAGAGCCCTGGGACTTAATTTTCTAGGCTGCACACCTTGTTTGTATTTGAGGATGAGGTCCCAGATGGCTCTCCTTGCATAAGGGTCCACACCAGCCGTAGGTTCGTCCAGGATGACTGCCCGCGATCCCCCAACAAAGGCGATGGCCACTGACAGCTTCCGCTTCATCCCTCCTGAAAGTGTCTGCACCAGTGAGTGGCACTTATGGGTCAGCTCCAGGTCCTCAATCATCCTAGAGGATCACAAACAAGGAGGAGGGGGATCGTTTGGGCTAGCACCAGGAATTTATTCTTTACTTTAAAAAAGTGAATCTCATCTCTGAATTTAAAAATATGTATGTTTTCAAGGTGGCTTACAATATAAACTTTAAAAACAGCAAATGGCAACAACATACAAAAGATCCTTTTTCAGGGACAAGGGGTATGTGCTGTCTATTTATTTGGCTAATTTACTAATTCCCAAACACAGGAAAGCCCAATTTAATGTTCTACCCTCTGTCTTTTTGGAAGGAAGATACCATGGTGTACCGTACCAGGATCAGACATGCCCTTGTGCGAGCGGGGAAGTTGAAACTTTTTTGTTATTTTATGTTTTAGTGCACTTCTTATGGCAATGTTAGATATGATTTCATTACTCTTATCCTTCCAAGCCCTCCCCGCCTGGGGAAATCAAAGGAATCATGTACTTCCCTTCTTTTCTTAGACCGTGAGCTCTGGACTGTGGATAGAGCCCCTAGATTTTGTGAGGCTGCTAGAGTCTATCAGAATTTTGCATTAATTTAATGAATGTATTTGCTATTTTTAATACCATCGATGTAATTTTTTAATGTAAGCGTTGCTGGTATGGCATCTATTTTTGTGCTGGTCTTTGACCATGATAAATAATTCATTCATTCACTCTAAAAACTCCCATTATAATAAATGAAATAGACAAAAAACAGTCAAGCAAAAAACCCCATCACCCTAGCAGCTTACCCAAAGGGGCGAAAACTAAGACATAAAACCAGGGTTGCCAGAAACTGCAGTAGGTAAGAAATGTACAAAGTCCATACACAGACAAGAAATACAAAACAATAGCAAAACCCTAGACAGAAAAGTTTTAACTAGCACCTAAAATTCCACAGCCTTGGTTTGTAAGAAGGCTAGCTGTAGGAAGGAGGCCCCATCTCCCATCACCACCCACCTTTTTTTCCACAGGAGAGGGCACACAGAACAGGGCCTCCAAAGATCAGAGATGCTGAGGAAGCTCATGCTGCATCTAGGGATCTGCAATCATGACTCCTCTTTGAGCACCCCTTGAGGAGGGCACAGCACACAAACCAAGACTGCACTTCCACCCCCAGCCCTCTGTTGGTTCTCTCCTCTTCTCCAATCACTTGGTGGAACCTCTGTGTGGGGCTTCCGAGATGGTCAAGAAGCAGCACAAGCTTTTCTCACACAGTTCTGAGCTTGCTCAAGTAGCTCTGTGCTGACATGGGAACACTTGCACCCATCCCCCAAGGGCGTCCCCCCTTCAAATAATTTCAACCACAGGAAAGAATGAGAAAGGTGCCTACTTATCCATCTCCTTGCGTATCTCCTCTTCTGCCATGCCCTTCAGCTGCGAGTAGAACCACAGGTGCTCCTCCACAGTCAATTTGTCAAAAAGGACATTGTGTTGGGGGCACATGCCCAGGTTCTTGCGGATCTCATCCATCTCTGTCCGGATGTCATGGCCATAAATGGTAGCAGAGCCAGAGGTTGGTGGAAAGAGTCCTGTAAGGATGGACCTGAAGAGGAGGGAAACGAGCGGGGATGACATCAAGTGTGGAGTGATGCCATCAAGAAGAGCCTCTCCTGCTGCCTACAAAGATGTGAGAAATGCGACTTCCTGGTCTCCATGCAGCAATGAGGGGCTGACACATTCAGATACGATCAGGACACCCTGGAATCCACATAGCCTCAATCTGCCATGAAATCTTACATCTTTTTTTAACAGTGGAGTATTTGATTGTAAGTGGGCACCTTCATTATAGTGCTTAGCACACACCCATAATATTAACTGGTTTGAAACCAGTTTGAAACCAGTGAAGACTGTCAATGATTTACCTTCCTTCCACCCCTCTCTCCCATGGAGATCTAAGGAGTGGCTTGAGAGAGTGCTGAGAATGTTTCAGTAGATAACCCCCCTCAGTCCTGTCACAGAAGTACAGTTCCTAGACTTCCCTTAACGGTGGTCATGACAGCTGTACATACTTGAAACTGGCTTAAAACTTGTCGTGTAAATCTACCCTTTGGAGATTGAAGAAACATTTCCAGAAAGTGGAAAGATGCTTTCTATACACCCTCCTACACCCATCCCTTTGATGGTGTGTCTGAATACCTTTCCCCAAGATTCAGGCAACCACCATCAGCTTCCAAAACTTTGCAAGACATGGTCCATATACTCATCTTCTCAGATTAAGTGATAACAAGCTTTCCCAGAAAACATGGAAGCTTTAATGTTTAAGCTGCCAATTATGGTTTTTGCCTGCCTGGTTCCTACTGAAGTATATATGTATGTCCAGTGAAAAACTACTGCTACTGGGGCTCCCCCCCCCTTACCCCTGGTGGTATCTGGCCTGGTCAGCAGCTGTTGAGGGGGAACATGACCCCAGGCTCCTTGACATTTGGTGCTTCTATGCCCTACAGTTGAGTCACTCACATGGTTGTGGTCTTGCCAGCTCCATTGTGGCCCAGGAATGACACCACCTGGTTCTCATACAGGTTGAGGCTCAACTTGTTCAGGGCCAATTTTTTGTCTGTCTTGTAGATTTTGGTCAGTTTGTCCACACAAACAACCAGAGGAAGGTGGGTTGGCTCCTCCTCAATGCCACGAGTCTCCTCTGGACACAGAAGGAATTGAAGTGTACGGGTTATTATTAGTTGTAACAGAGTAGGTAACTGTATACAAAGTCCTCCCTTACAGGAATGCAGTCATAACATCCTGTGACAATGAGTTCCATGGTTACACTGTCTGAAATTTCTCTCTGTTCTGAACTCACTACAATGAGATGCAATGCAGGTTTACAAAATTATGAAAAGTGCAAAGAGAATGCATAGAGCAAAACAATTTAAGTTCTCTTATAATATTAAGACTGTGATGAATGATGATGATCCACATAAAAATTCTAGAGAGTCACCACATAATACTTTCCTAATAGGATGAACCATAGTCTGACAAAATAGCATGATTCTGAGCTCCCACGAGCTCTTAAATCAGGCTTGAATTTCAGTACAGAAGATAAAGAGGAGGGGATATTGAAAGTGAAAAGTAATTTCAATACATGATGAATAAGCCCTTGGTCTGTACCCTGAAGGGTCTTAAAATGGAATACAGGATGTATTGCAGACATAGCTAGATTCTACAGTGCTGTGTGCAAAACAGATTTCAAACTACAGGGATAGAGAAACAAAACAAATAGATGGCCACTCTTAGAGAACAGAAAAGCCAGCAGTGTGTCAGATCTGTCTCCAGCGATAACTGGAACTGGGTCTCATTGTTAGGGCACAGAATAGGGAAAAACATTTGGTAACCTTTACATTAACAAAGCTGAAGATTAGTTTTAGGCAATACCTCTGCCTATGCCTAGTGTAACACTAGAATTTTTTTCCCCATTGCTTAAATGTTACTTTCACCCGTTTGCCTCTCCTTTTCAGATTTTCTTACATTTGCTGCAATTTTTAGCAATTGCTTTTAGGTGGTGATATTGTAAGCTTCCTGAGAATCATTTGTGATTTTTAAAAAAACCCAGGATAGGCATTCCCTAAGCAAACAAAGATAGCTGGCAATAGATTCAGGACACGGGGGAAAGAAAGTATGGTCCACTTATCACTTAGTATCAACTTTTAGGCACCAGGTGAAAACCTTTTATTCTGCACAAGCGTAATATTGATTATGCAGTGCTCTGCATTTTGCTGTGCTCTTTGAACAGTTTATGGAGCTACGGTGGCTCAAGTAGTTAAGACGCTGAACTGCAGGCTGTGGAAGGTCAGTAGTTCAGCAGTTCAAGACCCGGGTGCCGCATGACGGAGTGAGCTCCCGTCTCTAGTTCCAGCTCCTGCCAACCTAGCAGTTCGAAAGCAAGAAATTGCAAGTAGATAAATAGGTACCACTTCGGTGGGAAGGTAACAGTGTTCCGTGCGCCTTGGTGTTTAGTCATGCCGGCCACATGACCACGGAAACATCTTCGGACAGCGCTGGCTCTTCGGCTTTGAAACGGAGATGAGCACCGCAACCCTAGAGTCGGACTCGACTGGCTTTCGAGCAAGGGAACCTTTACCTTTTACCTTTGAACAGTTTGGTGAACATCAAAAAAACTGATGCATGCTCTGATGCTGCTAACTGCTTTCAATCTGCTTTATTTACCCAGGTGTTGGCTAAAGCATTGCTGCTTGACCCTACATTATCAATAACATTTTTCCCGTTAACTATTTTTATGGTACTCCAGTTAAAATATTGGAGTCTTTTTCATTGTTGCATGCTGCTTCAGGCATCTGGGTGTGGAGATGGGGAGACAGAGAAGCAGCTAACAAAGGCCTCAAGTTAAATAAATAATCTACCACAGAACACATAATCAGCTGATGGAATTCACTGCCACAAGATGCAGTGATGGCCATATACTAGACAAATTTACACACAAGGATGGATCTCAGTGGCTAAGTAGAACCTCCATGCTCAGCGGCAGTGTACCTCTGAGTGCCAGACATTAGGGGGCAAACACATGGGGAGGGGTTCTTGGCCTCATAGCTAGAGTGCCGGCATCCAGCTGAACTAAATGGCCATTTGGTCTGATTTGAGCAATGCAACTCTTACAATCCAGATTATCGTTGGAGGAAAGGGCTTTTCTTTTAAAAAACAGTAGTTCTGGAGCAGATAGGGTAATGAACAAAATGTGGTGATATAAAAAATTCATCATCACATGAGGAGTTCTTTCTGAAGAGGAAAATCCATGTGTTTCTAGTTGGTCTTTGTTGTCTTTCTCTGCACTTTCCTGAGTTTTATATTCTCCTTTCCAAGGCCACCAGAACTATGCCACATCCTCCCATCCCTCCCCCATGAGCTCTCCAGCCCCCCACTGCCTCCCTCAGGGCACTGCCACTGCCACTTCTTACCCAGCCTCCTGTTCTCCATGGCACAAGCTTGATCTTCTTCCATGACACTCAAGCGGGTGGTACGTGACCAGGGCCAAGTCCACTCCCAGGTCTCGGTGCGCCCGTTCCCCAGCCAGTAGGATTTCTGGAACGGGAAGTACCAGGGCCGGGGAAGGCCATACATTCCTGAGGAAGGAACAGGAGCTGGTGTGAAATCTGAGCTGGAGTCATGTCACAGCTAAGGGAATGAGGTGTGATCCAGAAGATTCCCTCATCCAAATTTTACCTCTGCCAAGAACTTACTATGTGGTTTTAGGCAAGCATCCACCTCTTTGACTGACACCATTGGAATATGGGCATAATAGTACTGGCCTACATTATTGAGGTGTTGAAGAGATTACAACAAGTTAAGTGTGCAAAGCACTTCAAACTCTGATTTTTTAAAACAAAATGTCAAGAGAGACAGCTGGGTGGTGTGCAAAAATTGTACGTCGAGAAACAGCAACAATGCAACCAGGATTCCCTGTCTTCATGTGTGCTCTGGCTTTTGTTACTTTGGCCCTGACAAACCACTACCTATATCTGATTAAGTTGACTTGGATATGACATGGATATAAACATCTACTTGCTTTGCAACCTCTGGCTAGGAAGAATCACATGTGGATTGACCAGGCAGGTGAATTTGGGGGGAATGAGTCCGCCCTCTTCCTTTCAAACATCAGATGTGTAACAAATGGCTAACACAGCTATCGTGAGCTTGGACAAGCTAGCCCACATTTAATGAACATCTGCCAGGACACCTGAATCAAGAACTACAGCAATCCTTTCTTAGCTATCTATTCCCATTTTTACCCTGCTGCCTCCACAGGATGCTGGACATGTTTCTCCACTCCTCCATTATATCATATTAACCCTATGAAGTTGGTTTGGCTGCCAGTAGATTGGCCAAATCTGCAAACCCACAAGCCACTACTCCTGGGTGTGCAACTTTGAAGCCACAGCATACTTTTAAGCAAAAGATGGACAGCTATGCAAGTCTGGCATACTCACACCCCCATCCCATACCTACCTGGATGCACAGCCTCGATGTACCAAGTCAGTATCCCGTAGACCACAGCATCAATAATCAACATCATCATTGATAGGAGAAGGTTGAAGTCATCCCCCTCCACAGGCGACTGGCTGAAGGTGTGCCACTGAATGCCCACGCCTGCCACCTCGTACAAGGCAAAGTACTTGGAGCCCAGCCCAAAGGCTGTGGTGGACATGAGGGACTGGGGAAAAGAGGGCCACAGAAAGTCAGGTGGTGTCATCTCAGCCACAAAGTACAGCATGGGTTCTCCCTACTCCAGACTATATACAAACAGCAAAAAATCTATATCAAGAAGAAATTAGTTTTGCAAAGTTAGGCACATACTTGCAGAAGCTATCCAGGGTGCTGAACACTGCCATGTCCTGGCTAGTGGAGATACAGTTGAGCCCACCTCTCTTGCTTTTGAGATTTTACCACCCATCATGGCATCCACATTTTCAGCAGCTTCATCGTACAGTATAGAAAAGTGGCTTGAAAAGGGTTCTTCTTAGGAACCAGAATCTCTGCATTTGCTACCAAATTCTGTGCTCACAAGTTACATTATTGAGAAAAACAATCAAAAGGAAGGAGGAAGGCCCCCATTTACTCACAGCTATGCACTTCTCAAAGGCTGTGATCTTGTCATGGGCCACTTCCTCCCGGATGGCAACGTACATGTAAGGGACATAGCTGAGGAAGTAGATGATGCCTCCACAGGCAGAGGCCAGCTTGGCTTTGGAATAGAGCACGGACACCAGGAAACTGAGAGAAACAAAGCAAAAATAACACAAACCCACATTCTTGCAACAAGAGGGAAAACGAGTACAACCCCTTCTCAAAGTGAATGTATTCTGCGGGCTAAGACTCCAAGACCTTCCCCAACAGGCGCCCCCCCCTTTACATACAACAAGGTCAGAGGCAATGCAAAGTATTTCTAAGATTGCCTGTTCTTCCTCTTCTAGGTTAAGGACGTGCCCCTTCTGGGTGCCTTGCCAGAGGGCCCTTTAAATCCTGGGGCTGTTGGCACTGTCCCAGAGTGCACACAATTCCCTCCAAGGCAGGCTTCTGAGCCACAAGCCAAGGCTGAAAGACCCCAGATTCCAGGCTAAGGAAATGCAGAGGTGTGGGTAAAGTGTTCAGATTAAGCAAATATATGTCAGACAAATTGGACAAAGCAACTCAGGCTATTTCCCACTGAAGTGGTAAACTTATGTCTGGGTTAGGTTGTGTTAAACTATGCTGCAGGTGGGGGCTTGGAATCCAATACTTCTTCACTCAAAAGAAAATCCCCTCACACAAGAAACTAGTATGTCAGGGAGGAGGAGGTGATCTAGAATAAGGCTTGCCAGACGCAGGGGATTTTATTAAGAAGCGTTCAGTGTTGTGAGCCCCAACCTACAGCCCGAGGAGACTCAACACAAACACAGGCTGGCTACTCCTATGAGAACGAAGAGAAAGAGAGAGCTGTGAACTAGCAGATTCCCCCATTCAATTCTCATTGCTGGCACAGACAAGGCGGCCCTCTGCAAGCCACTCTTCACCATTTAGCGGATTTTATGTTTTTGTTTTTAAATCATCTTGTTATTTGATTGCGTACACTGCTTGGGAGAAAGAGGGATGTTTGTCCAAAATACAGGACAGTAATGTTTTAAAATTAAAATAGCCCCCATTCACAGTACGGTGATACCACCACATTACAGAGAATGTTCGGAAAGTGCTCGGAACGCACAAGATGAATCCTGATTGTGCTGCTCTCCCATTCCCTTGCCTCCGTTCTGTGGCCGCCTATGCAGTCCCCTCCCCAACTCACCAAAACATGATGGTGGCCACTGCGTAGATGGCAAGGAAGAGCCAAATGATGAAGACATCGCTGTGCATCAGGACCTTTCCATACTTGAGGATGGCAGTGAGCGCCGTGACCGAGATGGAGAGCTGGACAAAACCCGTGATGAACCAGGCCACCCAGTGCACAGCATTGTTGAGACCCATCATTTTCATCACCTGTCAGGAGAGACGGGCACGGAGTAAGCCCAACATTCCCATCTCTATGACATTTTAAGGGAGCTCTCTTTAACCCTCATGCTTTTTCATAAAACAACTTTAAGCTGCAATGTGGAGGAAGACACAGATCTATACTTTTGTCCTTTCACACTTCCTTGGGGGTGCTTGAGGTGGAGCACATTGTTCCCTCTCTCCCCATTTTATCACAACAGCCCTGTGAGGAAAAGACCAGAATGAGAGAAGGATTGGACCAAGAGTATCCTATCAGCTTCATGGCAGTGTGGGGGCTTGAACACATTTTCCTGAATCCTAATAGCGTTCATATAAAATTATTTGTGCAAGGAAAATGGGATTTACTGAAGATTTCAGCCACATTACTGCAGTCACACATTTACCTTCAAGTAGTCCCTGGCTCAAATCTCACCTGGGATATCAATTTGAAAAATCAGCTTACCTGAGGCCCTCTCTCTCAGCCCCAGGCCCCAGCCACCCCATGGCTATAATATGAGGATAGCAAGACTAAATTACCTTACAGGATTTTCATTTCATTTAGACAATGTATATTTCACCATAGAAGATATTAAACCAACCAATTCAAATATGGAATAAAGATCAATTAAAAGTCTGGGCAAACAAGAACGGTTTGATCTCAACAAAGCAGGTGCCGGGCAAGCCCTGAGGGCATGTCAGATGTGGTGTCGCCACTGCGGATGCCTAGCTGCCACTCATCCACATGGCTAGAGAGCACAGGCAGCAGGATTTGAGACATAGATCTTGACTAGCAAGCAAGACAACACATCAGGCGACTCTTCAAGTGGCCCGGCCACATAAACACATGAAGCTGCCTTCTTTTGAGTCTGATGGCTGGTCTATCAAAATCAGTATTGTCTAACCTGACTGATGGTGGCTTTCCAGCATCTGAGGTTAGGGGTCTTTCGCACCATCTATCTGATCCTTTTAACTGGAGGTGCTGGGAATTGAACCTGGGACCTTCTGCATGCAAGCCAAATGCTACACTGCTGAGCCACAATTCCAAGCTGATCAGGGCTTTAAAAAGTAAATTATGAATAGTGCCCTGATTGTTCCATGGGCAGCCAGAACTGTGCACACAAAGCGCTTTGAAAATCTCAAAGTATATTCCTCTTCCTCCTGCAAGGCGACTCTCACACTCTGAGTCAGGCAGAGGCAAAACGTGTGGGCTGGAGTATTTTGTTCACAGCTCAGCACTGCTTCACCATCCCCAGGGAAGTGCTGCCTATATCTAAGCTATTAAACAGCCATTTGTTGTATTGATCCACCAGCATTCGTGGCCAGCCATCCCCGTTCCCTGCTCTAGGCCAATTCTTCTCCCAATGACTGCCGGTTAACTAGAGACTGAATGTCATTGTCTCATGTGGGGCTGAGGTTGCAGCCTTCATAAAAATAGATTTCCTTTGAAAAAAAAAAACAGATGAGTCTTTCCATCAGCTGCATACAGCCTACCTGGATTCCAGGGCCAGAGACAGACAGTATGTTTTTTTGATAGCTAAACATGCTCTGAGAGGGGGTTTGCTGCTCGAGGTGTACAGTAGGAGTATGCATTACGAAATTCCCAAACCGAAAATATACATGGAAATTGCTAGTTCAAGTGGTTACAGTGATGGCAAACACAGAGTTTTCAGTGGAAAGGTTAAAAAAGAAATACTGTCAGTCACTCGTGGTGACAGTAGGAAAATGAAATGAATGCAGGCAGGTTTACTTTTTTTTAAATGCTGGTGGCTGGAGCTATTTTCCCAATAGGAATCAGTGGAGGAAACTACAGCTGCACTGAGTGGAACCTACTTTATGGGTCTATAAACTCAAACCCCTTGGCCCTATTCACTTAAACCTTTGGGGTGGAGTTATTTAGATTAGACTACATTCTGTGCAAATTTGGTGCCATTATTTTTATAAACAGCTGCCCTGGGCTCTCCAACAGATTCCCCCCGAACGTAATAACCCCCAAAGCACCATAATCTGAAAAACCACATGGATTTGAACCCCAAACTGGGAATGTCCTACATGAACATAAGCAATTATGGGGGAAAATTCTTCTCTAAACACGAAAGTATAACAAGTTTTTTCATAGCACATACCCTTAAAGCGTAGAGCATCATCAAATTAAGCACTAGGAATATATGGAGATATCGAGCACAATAATTTTTTTAATGTATTGCTGCATCGATCTTCCAATTCATACTGTAATTCTTCCCTGTTCAAGTTCCACTAATTGTATTATGGTTTCAAGACACTGCTGACCAGGCTAGATAATCCTGAGCTAGATGCACCGAAAGCCTGAGTTTGTATAAGTACTTTGAATCAGGTCCAAAAACTAACTGGCCATCAGCACAGATGAATCTAGATGAGTGAAACATGCCTCTGGGCAACTTGCTCCTGTGAGTAATCTGGAGGGCTGGATTGCAGAGCAGCTACAGTGTCCAAACATGCTCCAAAGACAACCCCAAGCACAACTGTATGGAATCTTTTCCACTGATGTAATCCATTGGAACAGCTTATAATTTAACTCTTACCGAGATAGGCTGCAAGCTAAAAGCTCTACAAGGATGCTGTATGCAGAGGACTTCCCCCTGATACAGTTTTATGTGCAGCTCATCTCGTAGTCTTTGCATAGATCAGCACCGGGAGGAAGCCCTCTTGGCAGCCGGCATGCTCTGTCAACTCCCTTCCTTCCCTTAGCCAACAGAGGCACATACTCAGAGATTTACAGCCAGCCCTGCCTGGCTCAATGCCCCCGCCAGTTCATCATGCTCTCGTTAAGTGGCAGCCTAGGGAGCCCAAAAGGAGTGTGGGTGGTGCCAGCATCAAGGAACAGAAATGCAAAGGAGGCTGGCAGGAAAGGAGAGCCCTTGCCAGGAATACCAGCAGACCATGGATTCTTTGCAGGGCAGTGTAGTCATTTCGCAGAGAGGAACGACACAGTTAAGACTGTTAAGGAGACAGAATGATTTTGGTAACAGAGTGATGTTAAGGAGGAGGGCAGAGGCATGACTAGAGATGATCAGAGGAGGCAGAAATTGCCACTGACAAAGACTGCCACAGGAAAAAAAGATTAAGGACAGGGATTCACCAAAGACAGGTATAAAAGAACAACTGTATAGGGTTCATCTTCAGAAGTAGGGCATACCTCCAACACCGGATGCCTTTTTCAGAGATGGCACAGAGGTTGTGAAAATCCCTCCCTAAACATGTCTGCCCCTTCCAAATGCTTTTGTTTTTCCGTAGATGACCGCTGGTTAGAGTTGGTTTTATTCCTCTGAATGATTTCAGTTGTTTAAAACATGGACACCCTGCCTTATCTCTTTGCACTTAAGACAGCTAACAATGTAGTAGCAAGTAATAAGGACAGAGATCACCATTTAGGGACCTATCCTGAATGGGTCTACACACAAGTAAGTCCCATTCTGTTTAATGGGACGGTGTTCCTAGGACTGCACAGGAAGTCCATTAACAAAGGTTTTAAAAGGACAGATGAAAAACACACCAAAATGGTTCTTGATTTTTTTGTAACTATATTATCAACTTTATAGGGTGGTGATGGCACTTACACAACATATGATTAGCTCTGTGGCATTTAGTGTGTGTTGTTTAGTGTTACTAGAGATCTGCCTCTTAAACCCTGTTCTGTGCCCCTGCCTTCAGAGGCAGGTGGCCACCAGAGACAGGGCATTTTCTGTGGTGGCACCTCAACTTCGAAATACAATCACTTTAATAAACCTTTAATAGCATATACAACATTAAAATCAGAAACAGAAAGTGACACAGTCAAGTAAAAAACTGGAATAATTATAAAATCATGAAACGGAGTTTCCCAAATTTTTCACTCTTATCACATCAAATAAAAAATTAGCCACTGCCACTGTAATCTCTGCTGTTGTATCATTCCATAGAATTTGACATTTTCTTTCATTAGAAAGGTGATATTTACCATGCAACCAAAAGTTTAACCATTTTCCCCTAGCAGATACATGCAATGAACAGTCCAGCAGTATGTGCTCAATTGAATCAAGAGAGCTTGAACCACAGTCACATCTCCGTTCATACTTAGGAATATTATGAAACCTACCATACAGTAGTTTTGATGGAAAGGCATTTACTCGAGCAAGGGAGAAAGCTCTTCGATGGCTAGGGCTATCCAAATTATACAAATACTGGGGAATACATCCCACATCATTCTTAAGATTTAATGAAGCTGAAGAGCAGACAGGGGGATGAAAGGGCTGCAGTTTTTGAAACTCAATATCTAAAAGCCTCTGTTTGATTGTATTAAAAATATACACTTCAGAGGAGAAAGCTAACTCCTCCAAGGAGAGGCCCAAAGATGTTATTTTGGATCGAATATTCAAGTCCCAAGAGGTACTATGAATTTCCTTTAACAGAAAGGACAAAAGCGAACCATCTTCCATGTTAAAATACAATTTAAGCCAGTAACGGACCGTTAACACCCATGTCTTGGTTTCAATCAAATTAAGTCCTAATTCACAGCACAATGCATGGTAAGAAACACAGTTTGGGAAACCCATAATTTGTCTAAAAAAGGATGATTGAATTGATTCAACTTCACAGTTAAAAGCACTGAACCATATAGGAACACCATAGAGAACTTGAGCTAAAATTTTAGTATTAAAAACTTTAATGGCGGCAGGCACAAACTTCGAAATACCCTCCCCCTTGAGGCTTGCCTGTCTCCTACTTTACTCTCCTTTAAGCACCAGGCTAATACACGGCTTTCTACCTAGGGTTTTAATTTAGAGGTGTTATCTTATCAGCTCGTTTTATATGTATATATACTGTGTTTTTTAATTATAAGCTGCCTCAACCAGGACTCTGAAGGGATGGTATAAAAATATTCTCAATAAATAAATACAAACCCATCTGAACATAAGAACATAAGAGACGCCAATGTTGGATCAGGCCAAAGGCCCATCCAGTCCAACACTCTGTATCACACAGTGGCCAGAAATACCAGTGCCATCAGGAGGTCCACCAGTGGGGGCAGGACATTAGAAGCCCTCTGAAGCCGTCCATGCTTGTAGCCGCCACCACTTCCTGTGGCAGTGAATTCCAAGTGTTAATCACTCTTTGGGTGAAGAAGTACTTCCTTTTATCCGTTCTAACCCGACCGCTCAGCAATTTCATGGAGTGCCCACGGGTTCTTGTATTGTGAGAAAGGGAGAAAAGTACCTCTTTCTCTACCTGCTCTTTCCCATGCATAATCTTATAAACCTCAATCATGTCTCCCCTCAGTCGTCATTTCTCCATGCTAAAGAGCCCTAAGCGCTTTAACCTTTCCTCATAGGGAAAGTGTTCCAACCCTTTTATCATTCGAGTTGCCCTTTTCTGCACTTTTTCCAATGCTATAATATCCTTTTTAAGGTGTGGTGACCAGAACTGCACACAGTATTCCAAATGAGGTCGCACCATTGATTTATATAGGGGCATTATGATATTGGCTGATCTGTTTTCAATACCCTTCCTAATAATCCCCAGCATAGCATTGGCCTTCTTTATTGCAGTCACACACTGTCTCGACATTTTCAGTGAGTTATCTACTACAACTCCAAGATCTCTCTCTGCCAGTTCACGTTCAGACCCCAACAATGTGTATTTATATTTAGGATTTTTGGCTCCAATGTGCATCGTCTTGCACTTGGCCACACTGAACCCCATTTGCCATGTTGACGCCCACTTGCCCATCTTTGACAGATCCCTTTGGAGTGCCTCACAATCCTCACTGGTTTTCACCACCCTGAACAACTTCGTATCATCTGCAAATTTAGCCACTTCACTGCTTACTCCCAACTCCAAATCATTAATGAACAAGTTAAAAAGCAGTGGACCAAGTACTGATCCCTGCGGTACCCCACTGCTTACCACCCTCTGCTTACCTGGATCAAAAAGGGGACTAGGAATACTAATTGCTCTGCCACACCCACTCTCCCCCCATCCTGCAAGCATCTCCAGACAACGTACAAGTGATTTTCCTCTAGAAAATAAGGAAGGGTTACCCAGAAAGCGGGACATGAGTCTCAGGCCTTTGGAAAAGAACAGAATCCATCAACCCCCTTTTCCCACCACAGACCCAGGCAGTGGTCCCACCTCTTTCAAGCGGTGCTCCTTCTCTGCCACAATGTGCTGGATCATCATTGCCACCGAATAGACCCAAGAAATGACCATGCAGAGGGGCATCATGTGCTCAATGACAAATAGGAAGCTGGGGAGAGAAAGAAGTATACTACTACTTACAGCAACAGAAACAATCCTTTGAATTCACTGCTACATGAAGCACTCTATGGAGGAGCTGCAGCTCGCCACAGTCTGTAGACAACCAAAGCTTGCTATGCAACGCGGCAATGGGAGGTACTGGTCTTGAGAAGAGGAGGTTTGGGAAGGGAGTAGCAGCTTTGGCCTGCGATACCACCCCTGCCTTGCTCCTGCCTCCTCTTCCACGTCTTCTGTGTCGACCTCACCCAGGAGCCAGAGCAGGCTTTCCTTCCTTGATCTCCCAGGAGTCTCTAAACGCAAGGCAAAGCAGGGGCTAAACAGGGCTTCCCAAACTCTCAGGAGACTCCTCTTGTGTGAATCTGGGAAGCCGTATTTGGGAGGTGGGTTTCCCTACTGTGTGTTAAAGGCATTTGGGGACAAAAGGATAAAAGAGACTTTAGGTGTTCCAGGTGCAAGGCAGCATTGGGCCAGGAGAGGCAAGGGATGGTGGCAAGGGGCAGCAGCCTCAGGTGTGGGCACCTGTTGTTAAAACTGCCACCAAGGATGGCATACTCCCCTGGTTTTTGAAGGGATGATAAAGTAATAACGAAGCATTTACTTGTAAGTTTGGGTGATCAAAGGCTTCCTGAATGCTACACGGCTGTAATTCTTGGCTGGTGGGAAGAGGGGTATTTGAAACTGGCAGTGCCTACAGCCACTTAATGAGCTTGTTAACCAAGGTATGCGATCTGAACTAGGGATTTCCCAGATTACAGTTCATTCTCTTAGCCACTGTGATGTAGTAGCCAGACTGTCAGACTAGCATCTGGAAGACCTAGATTTGAATCCCCACACTACCGGGAAAGCTTGCTGAATGATCTCGGCCGATCACATACTCTTTCTTTCACTAGGTTGTAGAAAGGATAAAATGCTGAATGTTGAAGCTCTCTACCAAAGCCTTAATTTGCTTGTTTTTTACTTGTCTTTTTTGCTTTTCTTTGTTATTATGGGTATACTGTAGGTTGTTTTTGTATACGGGGAGTGGGGTGTGTACTTGATGTTTATGTCTGGTTGGGTTTTGTTTTTTTTTACATATATATTTAAATAAAAAATTATTTGCAAAAAAAAGAGAGGATAAAATGGAGGAGAGGAGAAAGATGTGAGCCACTTTGGGTCCCCACGGGGGAGAAAGGGTAGAGTAAAAGGGAAGTAAATAATAAATTAGCCCCTTCCATCACCCTCAGCTGCTACTGGAGGATACACTCTAACGTTCTCCCCTGGGTTCTGGGAATAGTGGCTGAAAATGAGAAAAAGCCACAGTTGCAGGCTTTGGAACAAAAGGCTCTCCACAGGGTCCAAAGAAGTCCTGTGTCCTGGAACGTCTCATGCAGAGAAGTACTCACTCATCCCGGGTGTAGCATGGATATGGAAACATCTGCACATAGTTGCCGGGTTCCACCACGTCATGTCCTACAAAGGTGTTGATGATGGCTCGGTCCATCATATCTTTGGGGGGGGGGGAAGAGAGGTAAATGGAGGAGGGTAAATACAAAAACTGCCACTACGATGCTCATTGCATCTGTCACAGTTATTAAACAACACATTCTTAAATTTCTGTAAAGACCTGAAACTGGGGACTAATAGCAGGATCCAGGTGCCTTCTTCTCTGTACCACATACTTTGCCAGAAAAAAGAATTGGCAGCCAGCATCCCTGCTGCTCTTCAGCACCGTCACTGCAGATGGCTGTAGTGTAGTATTGCAGCTAAACTATTCAGCAAGGACTAGCTGACTCAAGGAATCAACAGGATTCCACCTGATCCTACAAAGCTTCCTACTTTAAACGGACTTCTCAGTCATTGCCCAAGTACATTCCATCACTACATTTGTCCTCTGAGGCTGTGATCCCACAGAACTATAAATATCCATAAACCATGCACACAAATGAAGGTTTTTTTCTGATCTCCACTGCATTTATTATATACTGTGAAGAGCAGTGTGCCTCTTCATCTTTACTGAAAATGAGCCTGCTTCCTCAGCAGGCCAAGTGTGGAACTTGGGGTCAATAAGTGCAAACCTACAGTAATTTTAAACAAGCTACACTTAGAGAATATAATCTTGTGAACAATGTACAGGAAGGAGGAAAATAAGATCTAGCACCAGTTCCCACTTTCGGGGTCAAAGAAGGAGTCTCTTGACAACAGAGAGGCTAGTATATGCTCACCCTGGATCCAGACAAATCCATAGAGGAAGTAGAAGCGGCCCCCGGTGTTTGGGCCCGGCCGCCAATAAGCCCGGCGGATCTCATTGGTCTTTTCTGTAAAGCTAGAATTTTGCCGGATCTTGTACATGACGTGGGGAGGGAGGGTACCATCTTTGTTGGTTTGGAAGATCACACCTTTGTTGGGGTGCAGGTGGGAAAGGAAAAATAATACATAATGAGGCGTACAAATAAATAAATGAAACAGCAGGTTGCCCTACGCACACGGCACATATGTTGACCAGAACAGCTTCCTAAAAATGTGATTAAATACAAAAACTTCCTTATGGTTGCAAAATGAACTTTAGATTACATCAACAATGGATGGTGTAATGGGGCAGTGTGCACATCACAAAGTTGCAGGAGAACAGAATGGGGTAAAGGGCACTCAAATCTCAGCTGTCATCTTTAAGAAGCTTGATATCCTTGTGGATACCAAGATATGCTTGAAAGTTATAAGCAATTTCTAGAGAAATATCACAGCGTATTTCTGCAGAAGGTATAAAACATCTTCAACCAGCTTTCTGATGGGGGGGGGGAGGAGATTTACCGACATGAGTTACCGGGCTACTTTGCAATATATTGTGATACTAGTTGTACAGATTTTTATTGTTGAATTTATTGTTGGAGGGTATTATTGATCATGTTCTTGACAATTAAAAAAAGACAAACTATGGTCAGACAACTGTAAACCTGCCTTGAGCTCAGAAAAGGCAGCATAAAAATATATTAAATAAAGAAATCTATGCAAAGTAGATAGCTCCAGAGGGTAGCCATGTTTGGGTGCAGAACAGCTAGATTCCAGTGCAGTAGTGCCTTAGAGACAAACAAGATCTTAGGGGTACAAGCTTTCCAGAGTCAAACTTCCCTTAAACTCTCTGACAGAGGGAGCTTTGATTCTTGAAAGCTTACAGCCAAAAAAAATCTTGTTGGTTTCTACTGGACTCTAATCTAGCTATGCAAAGTAGTATCTGGCATAACGGTCACACACAGGCCTGGGCATAAGGTATGGAATAGCAGGTTAGGAGAGGAAGACTCCATTCCTCCTTAACTGAACAACACAAAAGAAGCACAAAAAGGAAGAGATGCAAGAAGAGAAGAAAAGATTGGATTTATACCCCGCCCTTCACTTGGAGTCTCAGAGCGGCTTACAAACTCCTTTCCCTTCCCCCTCCCCACAACAGACACCCTGTGAGGTGGGTGGGGCTGAGAGAACTCTGACACAAACTGCTCTTTTTCAAGGACAGCTGTGCCAGAGCTTGTGACTGACCCAAGGTCACATCATCAGGTGCAAGTGGAGGAGTGGGGAATCAAACCTGGTTCTCCCAGATTAGAGTCGGCGCACTTAACCACTGCACCAAACTGGCTCTCAGATGCAAGCCAAAGACATGCCAGCCAGTCACTGTGGGAAGGGAAAGGATTTTATTTTTATTTATTTTAATTCAATTTATACCCCGCCCTCCCCGCAATGCTAAAATAGGAGTCTTACTTGCAAACACTGTGACGTTATCTTGGTAGGCTTGGTTCAGTGTGTAGTTGACAATGCTCTCCTCATCTGGAAAACCCTTGAAAATATCCACGCTGACCTAGTAGCAGGGATGGAGATTATGTTAATGCTGACCTCATAATGTATGGAAATCACTTCTCATCTCAGGTGGTAGTTTCTCTCTGACAGGGAGAACCTACTTCTCCTTGCAACAATCTGAAGCACCTTTTTGCATTGGAGCCACTAGCACTACCCTTGGGATAGGAACAGCAAAGCACCCAGGTCAGAGCCAGACAAGGGGCACCCACCTTGGACATGAATTGGATCCAGCCACAAGCAGCATTATCAATGGTGTCCAGCTGCTGCAGAAGAGCACTGGTGTTGGGCAAGGAGAAGTTGCTGTCCAGGAAGCTTTGGAGCAGGTCACTGTCTGAAACATTCAGGATTTCGGGGTGTTTGTTGAGATCTGCAGAAACCTGTGTGCAACAAGAAAATGGCAGGTGGGGTGGTGATGAGCAGTCTCTCTCTCTCTCACACACACATCTACACAGCCCTCCTGGATCAGACCAAAAGCCCCTCTAGTACAATCTCCTGTTTTGGTGGTTGCCAGAAGGCCTGCCTACAATCAGGCCATGAAAGGCAAAGCCTCCCCTTGTTGTTGTCTCCCAGCAATTGGCAATCAGAAATATATTACCCCTGAACAGGGCTATTTTTGGGCAGGAACGCACAGGAACGGAGTTCCGGCTGGCTTCAGAGTTGACCACGCCCACTACAGCCAAATCCTCTGAGGGAAGGCCTGGAGAGCGACCTCTGACGACTCTGAGGTGGGCGGGCCAGGGGGGCCCTGGAAGGATCGAGGAGGCATTTAAATGCCTCCCCCAGCCTGTCCAAGGGCCGGTTTGCCCGGGCTCCCCAAGGGAAGGCATGGGGGTGTGGCCTAATATGTCAATGAACTGTGCTGTCAGGGGTGTGGCCTAATATGCTAATGAATTTCTTCTGTTGGGTGTGGTCTATTATGCTAATGAGTTCCTGCTGGGGGTTTTCTACAAAAAAAGCCCTGCCCCTGAACATGGAGGTGCCAGTTAACTATCATGGATAATAGCACTATAGACATTGATGAATTTGTTTAATCGCCTTTTAAAGGCCTCCAAAATAGTGGTCGTGATAACTTGTAGGCCTGCCTGTGGCCACATCCCTGCAGTGTATTTCAGGCATATAAATGCTTTTCAGATAGTATAGAGAAAAAACCTGCAAGCCATAGCGGAGGCAGAGGGACTCATCGTTTCTATAATGTGCCACAGAACTGAAAACCTGTACCAGAACCTGAATCGTGCCACTTCTGAACTGTTTTGCGCTCTAGTTTACGTTAAAAACTTCTAGCACCTAGTGAGTATAGCTATGGGAGTAGCTCACTTCCGCCTGTTCTGACATTTCCCAGGGAGGGGGGCGCACTTCAAGATGCTGCCACTGTACCTGCTGCAACCAGCGTATCCGCTGCTGGAGTCTGCCCTCCTCCAGGAAGCTACGGATCTCTGCCGAGATGTTCAGCCAGACCTGGGCATAGCGAGTCACATTCCCGACAAAGGCAAAAGTCTCATTTGCCTGCAGCGAGAAAAAAATAAAAACACACTGAGTCAAATAAGAAGGGGACACAGTGGTGGTTTTTAAAAACCACTCCCAAATTCATTCCACTGACAGGTTAAAGAAGTAGCACATATTTTGTGTTTCTGAATACAAAACTTCCTTAGGGGATCAAACTAAAAGGCCTACGTAGTGCTTCGCTTCCCCAACCTTCGTGCCTTGTTTGTGAATCAGCCAGATGTCTTGGTTTACCAGTATCTAGTACTTAGAGGTACACTGCCTCTGCACATAGAAGCTCCATTCAGTTATCATTGTTGATGGCTGTTGAATTCTTTTCAGAAGACATTGAAGCCAGTGACCATTCAGTGAGCTCCATCATAAAAAATTACGTTTTCACAAAGACAAGAATATTTACTGGGGAGCAGCAATAGGTGGGCCGCAAAAAACACCCCAATGTTCAAGGTTCAGTGCTAGATGAGATGTTTCCTGTTCACTTAGCCTCAAACCACATCAGTACGGGAAATCAAACAAGTGCACCAAGACTTCCAATGTCAAGGCAAGTGGGACGATATCAATGTAGTCCAGGGGGCCAACGTTTCACTCAAAGGGAGAATCACTTAATGATTTCTTCTTCCCCTTCCCCCTCCATCCCTGCTGCTGCCACATGGGTCCCCATCGTAGTCCATGCCCTTAAGCCACATTCTGACACTGTACCTTCAGGATGACTTTATCCACCTCGGTACCAACAGGAGCATAGAGGATCTTGGGATTGCTTGTCATGAGGTGAACAAGGAGCCCTAAGTTCCGCTGCTCTTTGCTGGTGAACCCCAGTGAGCTCATGTTCCCCTGCTTCAAGGCCTCTGGCTCAATGGTCCTGCACAGGGGAGAACCATAAACACAGACATCCCTTTACTGTGAAGTAGCATTGCCACTCAGGGTTCTTACAAATGCCTCCCTGAAGGGGGAATGGAGGCAAGGACATGAGAAGATCAACATTATAAAAATACAGCTACTGAAAACTGGTGTGTTGTGCATTGATGGTCAGAGATTTAGGAGAAGGAGGAGAAGAGACCTGTGCTTTATTTATTTCAGATTATTTTTATCCTTCTTTTCTTCTAATACACAGAGCTCAAAGTGGCTTTCAAAAAAATATTAAAACCAGCATTCAGCATTACAAAGTGTTAATAAAATGAAATAGCTCCTTGATAGCCCACCATAAATGTCATGTCCCGTCCCCCTGGCCAGCAAAATCTCAACAGCAGGCCTGCAAACCTTACCGGTTGTTGCCGCAAAGGATGGGCTGCAACCCTGCCCACAGCTGGACAAAGGCTGAGCACTGCCCTTGGGGGTTCTCCGAGGGTGGGTCACTCTCGGTTTTACCCTCCTCTGCGCTGGAATTAGTGCTGGAGGTGAAATTCCCTCCAGAGCCAGTGCTGTTCGAGGGAGTGGGAGGAGCTTTGGTGGAGCATGCTCCCTTGGGAAGCAGTTTGGCCAGTGCTGAGAGGATGTCCACGTCCTTCAGGACCTTCTCCATCGCCATTAGGTCTTCCAGCAGAGCATGGAGGCGACGTCGAGCAGCTGTACTGTTCACCTCATCAAGCTTCAGCTGTGGGTCAAGACAATGGGAAGAATTCATGTCACGATATTGTGGCCTTTCAAAGGAGCAACCTCACTACCTCCTGCCCTCTCCCCACAAAAGAAATTAGCCGGGCTACACTGGTTCCTCTCCTGGAATAGACCTCACCCCCAGGCCAGTGTTCCTCAGAAAGAACCAAAACTGAAGACATTCAATTCCCTGCTTCTTCAGCAGCTAGTGCCCAGGTGGTGTACTGCTCCACTATATGGAGGTTCCAGAAAGTTATCTTGTCTAAAAGTCAAAGGATTGCATCCATTCCACAAAAGATCTAGGCAGATCAAAACTACTGATCTACAGAATTTCCTGCTACAAAATGTAAGTTGTGGCCACTACCATAGGTGGATTTCAGAGTCGGTTAGACAAATCCATGGGTAGAGAGAGTGCTGCCTATTAGCCATAACAGACAAAAGGAGCATCTACGTTTAGAGACATTGCTCGGGACAGCAGTGGAGGAGGGGGATTGCCTTCATTTCCTGCTTGGGGCTTCTGGATGGCCGCTGTGGGAAAGATGATACCAAACCAGATGGACCTTTGATCTGATCCATCAGGACTTTCTTTTGTTCTTACAAACCCATTAGCAATTATTAGCTCTAATAGCTAAATGGAACCTTCACGCACAGAAACAGCCACATACTGGGGACAAACTGAAAAGAAAGACAGTGCTCTCACTCTGTAAATGCATAGTGATAAAAGCAACATGCAAATGGCCACCAGATGGGGAAAAACTATAGCAGATCATGCTTATATGTAGCTATCACCTTCTCACAATGTGCACTGGTGAGCAGGCACCTTTTTGCCATCAAGTTACAGGTGACTTACGGCAACTCTATAGGGTTTTCAAGGCAAGAGATGTTCAGAGGTGGTTTGCCATTGCCTGCCTCCACATCACAACCTTTGTATTCCTTGGAGGCCTCTCATCCAAATACTAGCCCGGGTCGACCCTGCTTAGCTTCTGAGATCTGATGAGATCGGGCTAGCCTGGGCTATCCAGGTCAGGGTGAGCAGGCTCCCCATTAGAAGGCAATATCGCACCAGGGAATGAAGTGGCTCCAGGAAATCAAGGACACGATTCCCCAGTTCTTTGGGGCTCAGCAAAGAAGTAACCCCACCACAAAGCAGGTGGACAACTATCGCTCTAGGTGCCAAGAAACAAAATTTCACTGACTGCCAAATGAGCAGCTGGTACAGGCGGGCACACACCAGGCTGTCCTCACTGTCACCAGCTCAGCATCCCTCCTGCTCTGTCTTCATCTTCGTGCACTCACCTGATTGATGATCTTACGAGCATCTAGCTGTTCCTTCAGCTCAGTGGCTAGCTGGCTGAAGTAGTCCTTGCGCAGGCTAGCAGTCTTGTTGCAGACAGCCACCTGGTATGCTCGCAGGACAGGGCGTTGGCTTTCTGGGACCATCAAGATGTGTTTGAGCTCATCCTGGCTCTGCCTGCAAGTGAGTCTCTCCAGCACAGAAGGCGTGAAAAGGATGTTCTGGGAAGTAACAAAATTAGAGCATCATTTATCTTCAGGCTGGGGGAAAGCCCTAATACAGTGGAAAACAGCTCAGGGTATCCCAGGCTCGATTCTGAGCATATGGAATTCATAGACCTCCTAATGACATCAACAGGAACATGTCAGGATTATGGATGCCCCTACTTTTTGCAGAAGCAGACAGCAACAAGCAAGGCAGAGAGAATGGGATAAGATTCCTTTCTCTCCTCAGTATCTCAGCTGCTGTGACCACTGCATTCTGGAAAAAGTAGTTCCAGAATGTCATTTAACCCTCAGGCATCCTCAGTACTACATTTCCCAGGGTGCACCAGGCACTATGAACATCATGGTACTCAGGCAGGGGAGAGAAGAGGAGGACAAAAAGAAAGAAGAGCAGAGAGAATCTTCATTCCTGCCCGCCAGCAGCCTGTCACTGCATACTGCATCAATAGGTAAGCTGGAGAGGCAATTCTTCTCAGGCTTGGATGTACTGTTCAAGCCAGAGAAAGATTTGGGAATGGGGATGCTAGCCTTGTTTTGGCTGCTGAAAGTTCATGTTTCAATCCAATGGACTTTCCAGCTGAAATGGTACGCCAAAGTTAGAAAATCACCAATCTATATTCACCCATTCTTGCCTGGGACAGCCAGCCAGAATTAAATTGCAATTGATTCAAAGTAAGTGGGCCAAATCTATGAATGAACCACTGGAATGCAGATAAAAAGGGCGGCAGAGAAAAGGCAGTTCATCGGTTAAATGACCCACAGTAGGCACCAACAATGCTACTACAGCAGTTTCTGCCACCTTGGTCACCAATCTCAAGAAAGCCCGTGGAAGCACCCAGAAAAGAGGTGTTTTTCCTTGTCCTGCCCCCCCTCCCAAAAAAGAACAAGGAGTCTCGCTTCGGTTTCATCCCCGCTCCCCAATGCTTTACCTCCATGTCCTTCACAAAGGCTTGAGGACTGTAGGAAGCGGAGGACTCCGCAGGGGGGTTGGTGAGGCCCAAGGCATGGGACAGGAGGTGCAAGAGGGCCTTCTTGGGGGGGCCCTTCTGGGGATAGTGCAAAGGCTGATGCAACAACCCATCCTCCACTGTCCGCAAGCTGCCCAGAAGGCTTTCCTGGCATGAATGAGAGAGAAAAGAGGGCAGATAGAAGAAGCCCAGCACCACCAAGAGGCAAGCAAAGATTCAGCAAGAAATGGGGGGGCTTAGGAAGGGAGGGATGGTACTAGTAGGGGGAGAGGAGGGACAGCTTCAGCAACAGGGTCCTCCTCGATCACTCTGCCAATAGAAGATGTGGAGTGGAAGGGACAGTGTCCTGCTCCTTTGGCATCCAAGTGCAATGAAGGGGGGGGAAATAATGGGAAAATTATGATTTGCTTGCATTTATTTATTTTCATTTATTGTGGAAATAGATTTGTACACTGCCCCCTCGGCCATCAGGCTGACAGGGAAGCAAATGACTAACTTAAAACCCAACAATTAAATAAAATAGATTTTGAGACAGAGCTGCACGAAAGAACCAGTCTCCATTAAAACATACGTATCTATGACTTCTGGCGAAGAGAGAGGAAAAAAATTTCATCCCACATCAGATCAAATAATCAGTCAAAAGTCTGGGTAAATAAGAACTGCGCCTGAAACAAGAGCTCAGGCAGGAGGCAAGCGGCCAAGGTCCCATAAATGAAGGGGCTGCTATGGAAAAGGACCTGTCCATTTGGTACCCATCTGCTGCACTTCTAAAGGTGGAGGCACACAGAGAAAAGCCTTTGAAGAGAACCTGAATTGTTGGGAGGCACTTATGAGAGGTATACACTTACTGTACTTCCAGAGTTTGATATTTGGAGGACATGAATCCCTTTGAAATGGCAGCAGGGTACATAATACCACTGCTGGTTGTACATCTAGCACACCTGTGTCCTGTTTAACTCACACAACTCAGAGTGCAAACGGCCCAAAATGCCCCACTCCATGAGATTCCTTAAGAGCAGAGTAATAGAGGACCCTTCCCATACAGCAAAGCAATGTAATGGGGTGCAGTATGAAGGAAGGGCATCATTTTGTGCTCATTACTTCACTAAGGCATGTTTCTTTGCAGGTGGGCTGTTCCAGTTCTTTATCAACTTTGACTGAATGGAAGACGGTATTATTGAACTTGTTTTTGTAATACTTATTTTTATGACAGTAAGAGGAGCCTCCCCCTGTAATTATGAAGATATATAGTTTAGCTTATTTAGACCTTTTTATTTTCTGTGTGCTTTGGAAACTTGAACATGTACTGATCTTTGTATTTTTTATTGTTTCTTTTCTTTTAATAAATCTTCTTCTTCATTTTAGGAAGGCTCTGGTTATTTAATGTGTACCCTGGATCCTGAAAAAGAACTCACGGTATTGGTGTAGCCAGGGTCTCACAGTATGTTGCAGGAAACTCCTGGACTGGAGGTGGTGATATTCTGTGAGGGAGCAAGGTTTTTGCTCACAGCATATTCCTGCAAGCCTCTCATCCCTGACGTAGGTAGAGGGTCTTAAAGGGGTGTGCACCACTCAGTCTACTTTTTTTCTTACTAGAATCCCCAATGAGTGTTTAAATTTAGTAAACAAAACTATGTAACCAGGACCTCTGAACAGTTAAGGCCTCACATCTATTACAGTTGTATCCCACACTTCCGTTAAGGAGCTTAAAACAGCATGCAGAATTCTTTCTTCACAACAACTCTGTGAGGTTGGTTGGACAGAGAGAGAGTAACTGACTTAAGGCTGATAGGGAACCTCAACCCAGGTTTTCCTAATCCTAGCCCAGAGCGCCATACTCTGCACCACACTGTGTTCAGAGACCCTAAATAAGCACTCATAATTTAGAACACAGGACTAGCCTCGCAGGATCAGACCAAGGCAACTCTTTCTCACAACCAGCAGGTGTGAGGCACTCCACCAGATGCTGATCACAGCCTACCTTCTGACTCCCACCACCACCCCTCCAGCATTCACACACAATGAGCCCTTTGGCAACTCCTCTCACCTCAAGCTGAAGCAGTTTCTCGGCAGTGCCAAATCGGTCCCAGGGCTCGTGAAAACCATCCATAGAGGAGCCAGAGGTGCCAAAGAACAGCTGGTACACCTGGAGAAGAGGACTCATTAGTGAGAACCAGATTTTGTTGTGTCTTTGATTCAGGCATTATCCCAAAGACAATCTGCAGGCTACGCGCGCACACACACAAACACACACAAATAAGCAGATTTAAAGCCTTTGAGATCACATAAGCACAACAGGGTTTTTTTTAATCCCTCATTTTTTAAAAAGGCAACTCAGAACTTCAGTCCCTAAAGCTCTCAGATCCCTGCCCTTTGTCCAGAGGGGTATTTTTCTTGCAACCTGAACTGCAACACCTTCACCCACCCTGAGACAGTCCAGCAAGCCTTATCAGTCACTAAGACTCTGTTGAGAAAGCAGATCTGTGCTGCTGGCTCAGGTTATTGTCATTGGGGGACACTTCCAGGATGCAAACCCTTCTTGTTGGGCTGCAGTTCCTCATGAAACCCAGAAATCGGACACCACTGGCACCTACCACATTAGAGCAAGAAGAGGAATGGCATCCCCCCCCAATCCATAGCAACAGTCTCAACTTCTTGACGTTTTGCCAGGCACAGCAGATGCCACAGTATTTTAGGAATTCGTATTATCGTGTCATGACAAAATGAAAAAGAATGGTGATTTTCACAACCAGCTTTAATTGAAAACAGAGATAGAATCAGCTGAACTGACAACAGCATCTCAAATAGATGATGATAATGATGATGATGATGCAGCTAGAAGGACAAGCAACAAACGTTCCTCTCCATCTCCCCCATCTACTCTATTGCACTGAGAGGGCCAATTGGGTTGGGAAAGTGGGGTATCAAACAAAATTAATGCAGTAAAAGGCAATGTTTTGTATCAGTGAAGCTCAGACTCTGGACCACAGATTCTGCAACCTATGTGAATAGATACACTAATTGAAGATTTTTCTGTTTGTAACTTTGCATACTCAGCCCTGCTTCTTCTAACCTTGGGAAGGCTCAAAGAGCAAAGCAGGATATTGATGCCCAAAACAACAACCACTGAAAAATGCTGCTCGTTAGCTTTACCAGGTGTCAGCCAGCCTGTCTTGGCAGCTGCTTGGCAGGCTTAAACTCTGGCATGGTTCCTTTGCCAGATGTAGCCCATTCATTAAAGCCTCAACCAGGTCTCTTTTGAAGCCAACGGGTGTCCATGCCATCTTACAGACCCAGGCAAAGCAGATCTTGCCATTCTTTCTGGACCCCCCACCCAATCACACACCTCTTGAAGGTTAATGTTGGACCCCATCAGCAGCTCGGCTGTCTCGTTGGACAGGGAAAGGTTCCGTGTGAGAAATCGGTGGAATTCAAGCTTGTCCTTGGCAGCAGAGTCCAGTGTGAAGCCAGGTACTGTGGAATTTGGGACAGGGAAGAAGAGAAAGACATTGTGACATTATTAAAATAACTCTGAAGAGGGTTCGGGCAACTGGATTTATTCTTGAGAAATTATTCCAGAAGTAACTGTTTTGACTGGTAGACTGAATGCAGTTGTTTGCATTCAGAAGGCCTCATGTTTAAGCCTCAGCATCTGCGGTTAAAAGACCCCAGGAGATGGGACTGGGAAAGAGAGCCTGGAGAGCCAATGGCAATCAAAGAAGACAGCACTGGCCTGTATGGTCCTTCTGTACAAGACATCTTCATGTGATGAGGAGAAGACAATATAACTTTGGATTTAAATACCTTTAGCTCCTTGGGTGTCAGCCTCCTAAGCCACTCTTTAGGACCAAAAATATAGCGTCCCATCACTAGTTCCATGCAAGTTGCCCTCCAGCCAAAGTGACCTCCTGCACATGGGAGCAGCCTTCACATTTACCTGCCTGGTTGCTGAAGTGGGTCTCCATGGCACTGGGTTCGCTGCTGCTGAGTGACTCCAGGTGGCGCCGCAAGGACTCGAGCTCCTCTTCCAGCCCAGCATGATCTGGATCAAACAGGTTACTCTCCTCCACCACCTCATTCAGCCGCTCCAGCAGCTGAGTCACCCTGCAGGAAGAAACATTACTGGGTTGTTAGAGGGAGGGAGGGAAGGAGTCCTGACCTGGGGAGAAAAGACAATCATTCAATTGGCTCACCCGGCCGGGGTGGAGTGGGGTGGGGTGGGGTGGGGGTAGTGCTGGCTTTGTACAGGGAACAAGAGAATTCCAGTCCAAAAGCCCACATTAAAGGAGGATCACAGCTATGCATGCAGACATTCCCAGGTACAATTCTTAACACTTCCAGTTTAAAGGATCTTAGGTATCCAGGCTGCGAAGAGACCTCAGCCTGTTGCTCTGGAGAGCCGTTATCAGTGAACATACATGGTCCCAGGCTTCTCCAATTATAGGTTCTTGGGTGGCTGGGAAGGAGACCCTGCAGAGAGTGTGCCAGTTGGAGAGAAAAAAGTACTGAGCAGGATGGACACACTCACACTCAGCGTACAGAAGTCCTTCTGTTGCATCTCTGCATTTTCATTTTAAATTCCTGTTCCCCATTATCTACTGCTATATAATGTAGTTTATCATCTCCATTTTCTGCTAAATTAAATTGCCTCTAAAAGAATTATTACTGCTGCTTTTTTATTTTTGCTTTGTTTCAATGCCTTTTTAACATGGTTATTTTTATTGATTGTTTCATTATGTACAGTGCAGCTGACAGGCTGTAATCTTAATTTAAATAAGGAAAGCAGCGCTGTCCAGGTTTCACTCTTGTGTCCACCAATCATCCTGCCAAAGGTCAGCCTACATAAAAAGAAGCCTGCAGAGTAAATGGCTCTAGCCAAGCAAACCTAGCTGTATATTAATACTGCCAGTGATGTTGCTTCCTAACTCCATGGAACAGATAGTCAGATCCAGAGGATAAACAAAACATGCAAAGGTAAATTTTACTGAATGCATCAATACAAATTTTCCCAATACCCTCATGCCTGGCATTGTAACAGGAGAGCTGCCAAGGGTTTTGTCCTTTGTCCTAGACTCTAATGTCTGGCTCACACATGCAGAAGTGTGAGGTACAAAATATAACGCTAGCACATCAGAAAGATTCTCTATGTTTGCTGTGCTTGTTTTATATTTGGAAGAAGAATTTAGCACAGGGGAGCATTCCAAAATGTGGTCCTCTTAGGTCTCTGCCGTCTCGCTGCTACCTCATTTCCCCTGTATACATGAACCAAGCCTAGGTTTAGGACATAAATGTAGAGTGGACAGTACATTTTCCCAAGGGACAATGGGGAACAGTGACCCCACACACACTGATGCACACACATCTGAAGTCCATCAGCAATTCTCTTACAGGTTTATAATGTCCACTAAGCTATATGTCTCATTACTACAGCCAAATGACACACAGACACAGTTATGGATAGAAGTGCCTCCCAGAATACCTGTGCTGTGTGGCTTTGGATGCTACCTTTAAGTCCCGCCTCAGAACTCACCTTTGCCACAAAGTCACTCACACAGCAACCACCCCATCTACTGCAACTAACATACAAGTGGCCAGGATGAAAACAGGTGCTTCCTGTGGGCATCTCTACCTCCCTTCCTCCACCTTCTTCCCTGTGTCAAATTTTACATTTTAAGTTCCTCAGGCTAACAACCTATCCTCCTGCATTTTGTAAAGCATCACGTACATGGACAATGCTATAGAAACAAGAAACTGAAGTCCAAGGGCCAAACCCACCCGCTCCTCACCCACTTAGCGCTCAGCGCTCAGGCACACACTGCATCAGTACTTGATTACATCTTGGCATTGCTTCTATTTATCTCAGGCATGAAATACAAGATACAGATCTCAATGTTTCATACTAGCCTAGCAGTACAGGGAGTATCACTGGACACAGTGCACTGAGAAGTGCAACCCACAGGTAATAGCTACAATGCTGTCCCATTGGGCCTCCCTACCTGCAAGTTCAATGCCAGGTCAACTCATGCCACATCACTTCCTAAGGAACCATGCAACACAAGTTTTATTACATTCTGCTATAATACACAAAGCTGCTTCATACCAGTGGTCCAAACAGCTCAGGACTCAACTCTGACTGGTCTCAACTTGCTACTTGAGATCTCAGAGATTAAATCTGGGACCTTCTGTATGCAGGGCAAGTTAGGAGTGGTGGGGAAAGATTTTTCCTGATCTAGGGGGGCACAGCCCAACCCCATTCCTTTAGACCCCTTGGACACTTACCTTCTCCATTTCTGTCCCTCTCTCTGTGATAAGGCAAGTATTGTACTGCTATACAGCCAGAAGTCACAAATTTTAGAAGAAGGGAAAATAAAAGGTGACCATTCCTAAAAATTTATCCAGCTTGTCTTGATCCCAGCAAACGTTTTTGATCTGACACATGATCAAAATATTCACCCCTTATAATCAGCGATCGGCAATCTTTTATAATTAAAGAGCTAAACTAAGTTAATATTCAGAGCAATAGATCAATAAAGAGCCAAGTTGCATTTTATAACTGAAAGTAAACTTGCATAACTGAAAATATATTACATTAATAGTCGATATGTTGAATAATAGCAGCATTAAATTATTCCTTAACAAATTTATTCCTTAACAATACATAACAACAATTCCAGAACACCTTTTTCCAATGGGATTTCTGCTTGCTGCGCCATTTGGCTCATTTCTTTGATGCTTACATCATCAGTGGTCAAATTCAGCATCATCCAGGCATTCAGGATCTCTTCTGTCAATCTTGATCACCACTTATACCTTCCTAGGGCAGCAACACCCCCCCCCCCTTTAAAGATTCTCATCTCAGGCCTCCACCCCATTTCCTCCTCTCCTTCCTAGTTGGTGAGGCTTAGAGATCCTTGGGCTCAGAAGCCCTTTGGGTAGCTCACAGGTGGCTGCCATCTTAGGAGTGGCTTGGAAGGGCAAGGGGACAATGTGGGGTCTAGGGGTGGGCACAAACCAAATTACAAACCAAAATTCATCATGAACTGGGCGTAGTTCATGGTTTGCAAGCCTCAGTTCGTGCGATCGAATCTCCTACAAACTGCCCACAAGAACCATTTTTCGTGGAAGTTTGTGAGGTTCATGGGAGCAGTTCGTGGGCCACACATGCTGGCATCTATGAATCAATTGTCCAGGCAATAGGGGGGATGGACTTCTGCAGCCTTTCAAACACCAATAGTGGCCCTCCAAAGCTTGACAGGCAACTCTGGCTGCCAACCAGAGAGCTCCCATTCTGCTCTAAGCCTATAGCTTGCAGGGGGTCTGTTTGACACACTCCTGAACCTGTGGCTGCTATGATTTCCCCAGAGAACACTTTCCCGGGGGCACCTGATTTTGGGGGGCTGCTATATGGCCTCCCCAAAGCCAATATGCACACAACTTGGATGGCAAGTAAAGGGGTGTCCCATGGAGGTCCACTGTGAGTTTGATGTCTCTAGCTTGCAAGGGGGGATTGTCTGACATGAAAGTTAAATCTTTTTATACACATGTCTGAATCACTAAAAAGCAGAGCTGCATCTTGGATTTACACAATACAGAACAGGATTATTAATTGGATGGAACAGCTATTGTAAGTTATTTATGAATTTGTTACATGTTGAAACTAAACCTAAATGTGATGACATCCAATTGGTAGCTACTAATTATTGTACCTACTATCCACTCTCACCTCCTACCAGCCTGCCTTCTACATCTTCTCCCCTGTTAAAGCATCCTTGAAAAAAGAACACCCCTACACTACAAAGACTGTAAGAAACCAGATCCTAAAGCAACCACTGGCTACCAGGAGTTTTCTGTGCATGTTCTCAGTTGCTAGAAAAATGCCTCCACTTGGTAAACGTGCCTCTCTTACCAGAAATCATTACAAACACATTTAACACAATTGAAAGCAGATTCAGAAAGAAGAGAGCTTGGACTCACGTGGAGTTGGAGTACTGCAAGAACCCAAACTCGTCTCGCTGTCCATCAGGACATAAGGATTGCATCACCGGCAAAATCCCAGCCGAGGTGAGTGGAGATGCTGTGTAGTAAGCTAGAAAGGGAAAGATCACGAGAAGACAGTGGAGGGGGTGAGGAATATTGGGGGGCAGGGAGAAGAGACAGACACTCAGTTCAAAGAATAGCATAACTGCTGGATCACTATTGTTATAGGCTAGTTCAGTCCCCTTCTCCCTTTGTTGAGCTGAAAAGAATTCAGAGAGTTTAAAAGGTCAGAGGTCATCCTAGATTTGAGTCCAGTAGCAACTCTGAGATCAACAAAATTGGGGGGTGGTGGTAATAAGCTTTCAAGAGTCAAAGCTCCCTTTGTCAGTACCAGAGGTCATCCTGTCTACTTAGCTAATATATCTCCCCAAGCTTACAGTCGATACCATAGAGAAGTGGTTCAAGGGTCATACTAGGATCTGGGAGACCTGTGTTTGAATCCCCACTCTGCGTATGGAAGCTCACAGTCTGGTCTTTGGACCAGCCACTCTCTCCCTCAGCCTAACCTACCTCAAAAGGTGGCTGTTGTGAGAATAAAATGGCAGCAGAGGGAGTGATGCTGTATACTGCTTTAGGTCCTCAACTGGCAGTATAAATAAACAGAGATCCTATATATGGCACAATGTTGTAAGCCTGCCAGTGACGCAGGACACAGAACCACACAGTTTCATAACCCAGTGCACTTGTGTAATATGAGTTCGCTCCATTATGAATTTCAAAATTAATCTGTGCCAAACATTGCTTTAGAGTCACAACTGAAATTGCCCTAGAAACATCACATCGGCATCTTTTCACAAACGTGGAAACTGGTATGAAGCCGGGCACCCATATACTTGTCTGAAGCTTTGGATTTAAAAATGCTGCATTTAACTGTGTCATCAGGTGTGTCAACAGGTGTATTAGCAATTCACCGTTCAAACATCGGTCATTAGACAGGTGTGTGAATTGCAACACGTTAAATGTGGGTTGGACTTCATAGACTTTCACCTGGGAGAGGAATCCACTCAGCTGATACTGTCAGCGTGCCAATTTGATAACCAGAATTGGCCTTTGCTTCCAAGGACTGGCATATCAATTCTGCTTGCTGCTCTGAGGGTTACAAGCCAGAGAGCGATTCTATGATTAAGCACCCCATCCACTTCCTTGGCCTGTAGCCCAATCATATTGTATTACTGTAATCTTATATTGTTTTAACCTGGCACTTATGCCCTTGTTAGCCGCCCTGAGCCTTCGGGGAGGGCGGGATATAAATCCAAAAAATAAATAAATAAAATTTAAATAGTCTGAGATATCAGACTGAACAGTGAAATGGTTCAAATCTCATTTCTACCCCAAACTCTTTAGTTTGCCATAAGGAAGCTGCTCTCCTAGTGTCCCCCATCTGTAACATAGGGGAAATAATACAATAACCATGTGAAGTGGGCCAGTAAGGAGCACAAGATAATGTACACAAGGTGCCACATACACCTGAAAGTGTAATACATTGTTATTAGGATGACAACTGACCTTTCACCCCTGGTGAAGCAGCACTTCCCAGTGGCCAATATGCACATCCAGGGAGGAGGGGGAAGACAGGTTAGGAGAACACAGCAAGGTGAGTGAGAAGAGACCAGTAAAGGAGCAACAACTCTGCCTGGCCTGTGTGCCTTTGGCTCATCATTCTTGGGTATATTTATGGACAGCTCCCCAAACCACAATTGGCCAAGGCAAAAATCTCTGGTGAGGACTTGAGAGGAAGAAAAATTAAGCTGTAAATGGATTAAAAGGTGGCGGGATCCAGAGACTAGCAAGTTTGCGTGCTCAATTACCCAATTTTAATAGGTTATTTAGAAGTAATAACCTTGCAAAGCAAGCAACCGAATAATGAAGTTTAAATGTTCACCGCAATTTTTATTCCTGTTTTCCACACAAAAAATTGTTGCAAACAGCTGTCCCCAAATCCCCCTTCAATGGCACTCCAGGAAGATGAGAAGAGGAAAGGTGAGACTGTGAGGGTTAAAAAGGTATTAGTCAAAGCAGTCCAAAGGATTAGGTCAGTATGGCCACCCTTTTCCCCAGAATGCTTTGCCTCAAGCAAAAAAGCAGGAAATCCCACTTACAGACTAGAAGAAACAACAGTCGTATGTCAGGGAAGGCAAAACAGAAGTATGGGTCAGGGAAGAAAAAGAAAACGAGGGTGGGGAGGAGAGAAAAAAATAAATGTGTAAGAGACCAACAGAAAACAAAACCAAAAAGCAAAGAACGTCAGACCATGGCTTTGCAGAGACACAAGTATGACAATGGATGGTTGACCGTAGGCCGTCAACATGAGCAGCTTTCTGGTGTGCCATCTCCACTCACTCCATCAGGAAACTGAGGCAAAGAAAACAACTTCCAACAATATTAATGACAGCTTAAATAAAGAGATGCAATTCAGTCTAACAGCCTACACGTTTGCACAGAGAATTTTATCTCCTTTACAAGTAACCTTACCTAGAGTGGCTGCCACTTTCTGCTGTGATAACAACACTAGTCAGTGTCCTGCATACAGATTTCTGACCTCAACCAGACATTGCTGCGACCAGGGCCAGATCCTTCTCAGTGGTGGCCCCTACCTGGTGGAACGAGCTCCCGGAGAAGATCAGGGCCCTGCGGGACCTTATGCAGTTCCGCAGGGCCTGCAAGACGGAGCTCTTCCGCCAGGCTTTCACATAGGGGCCGCCGCTGCCACCACCACCAACGGTGGCAACGCCAACAGGATTTGGGATCGCCCTGGGAAGCTCAGCCATATATTGTGTGATATTAACAACACATGAACAATCTGCTGGACAGTGGTACCTCAACGGGGCTGACCTGAAGATACCATCATAATCACTCAGGACCATCTTTTTATTGAAGCACTTTATTATTGTTGTTATGTATTATTGTTATTAGGATTTTATTGTTTTATTGGATTTTATGCATGGGCTGTCGCCCCTTGTAAGCCGCCCTGAGCCCGCTTGCGGGGAGGGCGAGGTAAAAATGCCTAAATAAATAAATAGGAACATGACTTGTACCAAGTCGGACAACTGGTCCACCTAGCACAGTATTGTCCTCTCAGATTAGTAGCCTCTCTCCAGGGAAGCAAATAAAGGTCTTTCCCAACACCAGAGATCCTTAAAACAGAGCTGCCTGGAATTGGACAAGAGACCTGGCTATGACCCCTCTCCAATGTGGTTCAGCATCCTGGAGTTTACAAGCAAGAGACCTCCCAAAGGTCCAAGCATCCTACGACAATTTGTAAAACCACCCAGCAGTCAAACCACATGGGCAGAAGTTTTCATACATATCCTGACCTGCTTGGGAACAGCTAACTTGTGAAGGGAGCTTTAATGGCTTCAGCTCTACTCATACAGAGTTCGTTCCTTGGTCATCTTGTCCTTTTCAAAGACAGCTACTTTCAACTTCCATTGCTCAACTCAAGAACAGTAATTCCCAAACTCCGCAATAGGACAGCCAAACTCATAGTGTCCCTCAAAAAAAGAAATACAAGCTCCCATGAGCCAGAAGTTCCCATCTGCAAAGGAGGCTGCCCATGGCATCTCTTCATGATTTTCTGCTTTACCCTCACCTCCTCCTAAATAGCCTCTCTGTTACATCTAGGCTTGCCAAGACATTACCCGCCGGCAGCAGATCGGGCCCTAGGGGGAACCCCACCCCCAAAGCGCGCGACGTGCCCGGCGTGAGCACATCACCCAGAGGTGACGTGATCGCGTCGAGCACGTTGGGGGTGGGGCCACAATCATCCGAGGGAAAACTCTACAGTTTTCCCTCGGATAATTGTGGCCCTGCCCCCAATGTGCCCGACGCGATTACGTCACTTTCGGGTGACATAATCGCGGCGCACACTTTGCCCGCGCACAGAGACTCCCGGACCAGCGCTGGACTCCCTCGCTCTTCTTAAGGTAAGAACTTGGCAACCCTAGTTACATCAGTCAGCACGAATGTCTTTGCAGAACCAGACCAAACTCCATCTGAGCCAGCACCCTGCTTTCCAAAGCACAGAATCTGCCTCCCAATACTATACTTCTTCTAAACATGAAGGTTCCAATTAGCCATCATTCCCAATATCTATAAGCTATCTTTTCAGGCATATTTTAAGTTTCCTTTGAATGTCCAGCCCTTTTCTGCTTTGGGTATGAATGCAGGCATTGAAGACGCAGAATTCTTGCACTCAAAGACAGTTACCCATTGAATCTCCGCATGAGTCTACAACTTTTGATTAAGGGAAATAAGGAGAGAGTTTCCAGGCCTCTAGCAACTGGCTGAAAGGCAGGCATTCAACAGGTCCCAATATGGAAACAGATTCAGTGATCTGAAAGCCTTCACCTGTTGAATTTTGGTTGGTGTCACATTGAAGGCCATAGGTTTAAGAGATAACTGATACTTATCATTGGGTGTACAGGGTAAATTAGAGGAGAGATAACTGCTGCTACTGCAGTGCCAGAAGAGGGCTATGGAACTATTTGAATATTTTCTCTCCATACAGCCTTGAAAGATCTTTTTTTTTAAAAAAAAAATATGTTTATTGGTTTTTCTGTACAATATTTTACACCGCTTAACAATCTCCAAATGCATTTCCATATCAGACAAAGTATACATCTCAAACTCAGTTTCCAACAAACAGTTAATATCAAACATAATATGTATCCCAAAAACCTCTTATGTTAAACTGTGCACTTACGCTTCTATCTTTAACTTTCCCCTAAAACTTGCTAGCCTAACTCCCATTGAATTCTATGCTTTTTATATTTAACCAGCTATATATTGCTCCCCATTTTTCCCAATATTTTTCTTCCGGTTTCTGTTTTAATTCCATATTCATTCTATCCATTCCTGCCACTTCCAGAATCTTATATTTTAATTCTTTTATAGAGGGTAACGTGTTAGATTTCCACCTTTTAGCAATCAAGCCTTGAAAGATCTTGATTCCTTTCCAGACCCTGACTCATTGCTTACCTTCCTTCACAGGGATGGTAGGTTTCTTCTGCCGTAGCCCCAACAAAATGAAGAAGAGGACCAAAGGGATGAAGATCTCAAAGGACAGCACCCACTGGGGACAAGAAAATTATTTTAAAATAAATTCATTAAGGAACTCAAGGTTGGCATGAACTGTGTTTGCCAATCCCTTTCATCCCTCACGCAGATATTGCTACAAACCTATACCAATAAAAGAGGGGGCAACCAGTTCTAAACACTGGTCAGCTTAGCAGACATCTAGCCAGAAATCCGGCCCCTTTGCAGGAACCTTTAACCATCCCTGGACCCCCATCCCATCTTGTCAAGGAAAGAAACACACCAAGAAAATGAAAACACAACTCAGTCCAATCTGAGACAACACCCGTCATTATGGCATGCAGGATGTTTCTGGGAGGCATTGAGTATCAGTCTGTCAGTGGATGCTGGACAACCCAGTTTAGGGGCCCATGACAGATTTTGTACCCATCACAGTTCTGCATGGTCTCAGTCACAGAAAAGACTTTTCCCAAGACCTGACACAGGAGGTTTTACACTAGGGGATGAACCTGGGACCTTTCAGACACAAAGCAAGTGCTTGACTACGGAGTCTTGGCCCATACCAGGTACCCATTATTCACTTCTCTTTTACAGAAAAAGTCAAGGAGTTATTCAAGGGATGAGGGCTAAACCTGCCTCCTGTGACTGGTAGATCCCAGCAGCTAAGGCCAAAGATAAAATTTTCCTTTTTCCAGTCACATCTCACACTTTGGTCTGCTTACAGTTTATTCCAGTGAACTAGATAAGAGCTACTGAGAAACGAGCCAGCCTACATACCATAAAAGATTATGAATTAAGAATAGGCTTTCCAAGTCCCCCCGGCCCAGAGGCCCGTTACCCGCCGCCGGTGGATCGTGCCCCGGGGGGAACCCCACCCCCAAAGCACGCGACGTGCACGTCGCCCGTAGGTGATGCGATCGCGTCAGGTGCATTGGGGGCGGGGCCATGGTCATCTGAGGGAAAACTCTATGGTTTTCCCTCGCCCCCAGCGTGCCCGGCATGGTCACGTCACTTCCGGGTGATGGGGTTGCGGCACACGTGCGCACTCCCGGAGCAGCACTGGAGTCCCCCCCTCCAGCGCCGATCCGACTTGGCAACCCTAATTAAGAAGCCCCCATTTCAAAACTTGCCTCTGCCATGATTTTAGGAGAGGCGACCATAGAGCAAACCACCACCTCAGCCTTGACCACTCCTTCTCCACCAATTTGCAGTATAAAGAAAATAAAGCTGCCATAACCCCCTGTGGGTTGCCACCTCCAGCTGCCACCATTCTGGACTTCGGGTCCCTTGAGAAGACCCAGAGTACCCTCCCAAGCCCATCCAAAATGCCCCTTTTTAAGCCAAGAACATCGGCGTGATGACCAGGCAGAGAACACTTAAACAAATGGTTTATTAACACAGTACTCGGGCAAGGAAAAACAAGACAAGGTGCTTTAAAATACATAACAGTGTGTCATGATCTGGGCTGTGCCACCAGAGGCCTACTAGCCCCAGGGAGCCTGGCTAGCAGTAGGTGAGGCTGGGCCTACAACTCCCAGAAGCCCCTGAGAAGTTCTGGAGCAAAAATTGACCAATAGGAAAAGAGGAGGGTTTAGAATAAAAGATCTGGTGCAGCAGGAAAGGCTGTTCTTCTTCCCAGAGGCCAGAGCCAGAAGGAAGGCTGCTGCAGGAAGAGACCCTCATCCTGAGGGAAGGGTGAGTAGTCTAGAGTCACTTTGGAATAGTGAGCTAGGGACAGTATATATTTAGACACGTTAGGGCATTTGATTTCTTTTCACACACTTACTGTTATTATTCTGCAGCTTGTTGTTTGACCTCCTATAAAATAAACTATTTTCACTGTTCACGCTGCCTGGTCCTCACGCCTATTATTTGGCCAAAAGGGAGGTTAGAAGGTCTTGGGAGGGTGCTCTGGGCCTTTCTCAAGGGATCCTAAATCCAGAGTGGTGGCAGCATCAGGTGACACCCCACCTGAGCCGTGACACAGTGTTTAAAGGCAAAATAAACGAATCTAACGCAACTACCTATTTCACTTAACTAGTTCATATTTCAAGGCCCACAGCCCTCCCATACCAGGCCTCCTGCCTGCACTCACTCCGAGCCAAGTGAGGGATCCTTCTCCTCAGACCAGACTGTCCCCTCTGTAAGACAAGACCATAGAAGAGAAAAGAACACAGACCCCTTCAGTTTAGCTCTGTGAGAGGAAAGAACACCGTTACAAAGTATGTAACGATCAACTCACACAATCGCTCAACACTGATTGGCTACAACTGTCACTAAGCATTGTGGGGATTGTAGGCTATGTCTGCTTTCCACTGCCATGCAGGTCTCTCCTGGGACCAGGCCGCACTGGGCCTTGCTCCTAGTCCTGCACAGATCATGACTTTATTTATTTATTTATTAAATTTCTACCCTGCCCTCCCGCTGAAGCTGCTCAGGGCGGCTTACAAGCAATTTAAAACCAACATTCGGTTAAAACCAACAATTACAAAATATAAAATACAGTTCCATAAAATCCCAGCTAATACACCCTATGATAAAGTTCTAGTGCGACACCACCAGTGTAATCGGTTCTTATTGGAACGCCTGGTGAAACAGTTCTGTTTTAACGGCTCTCCGGAACTGCTGGAGGTCCCGTAGAACTCTAATCTCATGAGGAAGCTCGTTCCACAGCGTTGGCGCCGCCAGGGAAAACGCCATGGTCCTAGTTGTTGCTAACCTGGCATCCCTAGGCCAGGGACCTATCCTACCTTACAAAGCTATCCTACCTTACAAAGCTGTTTTAAGGATAATGTACATGGAGTGCTTTGAATACTCTATACCCCAAGTACTCTGCACAGTTTTGAATATCCCTGCCATGGATCCTGTTTCTTGGTTAATGAAACATAGTTGAACTGAGTTTTATAGAAGTGAATAATGTATTAGATAGGGAATGGCCTTGTGTGGAACACTGGTGTACTATGCATACCAAGATAAGGGATTTTTACACGGAAACTGTTGTTCATCTTTACCTCTTTGCCCTCCCCAACTTCCTTTTTATGGCAGTAACTTCAGAGAAGCAGCCAAACCAAACACCTTTGAGACTAAAAAATCTAAAATAAAAGGTTACCAGAAGATTCCTGTTCATTTTATTTTTATGGTTGCTCATTTAATAGGCCTTTTCCACCCATCGGTTAAGTCCACACACCAAATAAACCCGCCCAGATAACTTATCTGGTATGCAATTAAAAAGCTATAAATCAAATGAATATGAAGCTGCTTTACACAGAATCAGATGGCTGGCCATCTAGCTTAATATTATGTACTCAGCAGCTATTTAAGCTGAGAAAGATCTTTCCTAACACCTGCTACCTGAGATCCTTTAGCTGGATGTGCCAGCAACTGAACCTGGGTCATTCTGTTCTAAACATATGAAACTGTCTTACAGAGAGTCATACTATGGCCTACTCTCAGTAGTAACGGCTGTTCAAAGTCCAACACCTGCTACTGGAAATGTCAGTGACTGAATGGGCCTTCTGCATGCAAAGAATCTGTCTGACCATGGAGCCACAAGCCCTCCCAATAACCTGCTGCCATATCATTGTACAATTAATGGACCATATATATTAAAGGGACAAAACCCTGACCTCCTTTTGCATTGGACCACTCTAGCATTCTTCAGAGTATCCACTATTCTCTCTAGGACCTCAGGCTGAGAAAGATCTTTCCTAACATCGCGTTTATTATTGTTGTTAGTTATTATTGTTATATTCGGGTTTTCTACTGCCCATTCCCCAATAGGGCTCAGGGTGGCACACAACAAAACCAAATGTGCATCATACAGTTTAAAATGAATTTTAAAAAATCACAATAAAAGTCCATAGTAACAAAATTCCTCAATTCCATAGTACCGATACAGTTTGAAAAACAGATGGTGATCAAAGTTCCAATTGTGCTACTGCCTTGCGGGGGGGGAGGGGGCAGAGTGGACCTTGCGGAGGGAGGGGGCAGAGCGGCCACATGGACACTGTCCTCAACTAAATGCCTGGCGGAACATCTCTGCCTTACAAGCCCTGTGGAACTGTAATACGTTCTGCAGGGCACAAATGTTACTGAGCAAAGACTTCCACCAGGCCAGGGCCAGAGAACTAAAAGCCCTGGCCCTAAGTTGAGGACAGCCAGATTTCTCTTGAGCCGGGGACCACAAGCAAGTTCTTCTCCACTGAGCGTAATGCTCTCCGAGGGGTGTACTAGGAGAGACGGTCCCGAAGATATGCAGGTCCCAGATCATTAAGGGCCTTAAAGGTAAGCGCCAGAACCCTGAACCTGATCTGGTGTTTATCCGCATATGTCTGGAACTGAGCCTTGGATTTTCTGCCACTTAGGCACAGGCCCTTCCCTTTTATTACCTCTTCTTCCCTGTTTAACCTTCTGTGTCATATACTAGCTTGGCATCACTAACCACTGCTCAGCTGCTGGGGCCATGGACACCCTCCACTTCCAGTGCTCCGTTTAATTACACCAGTTTGGTGTAGTGGTTGAGTGCGCGGACTATAATCTGGGAGAACCGGGTTTGATTCCCCACTCCTCCACTTGTACCTGGCTGGATGACCTTGTGCAAGCCGTAGCTCTGATAAGAGCTGTTCTTGAAAAAGAGCAGTTTCTGTCAAGAGCTCTCTCAGACTCACCCACCTCACAGGGTGTCTGTTGTCGGGAGGGGAAGGGAAAGGAGTTTGTAAGCCACTCTGAGATACTTTTGGGTAGTGAAGGGAGGGGTATAAATCCAATGTCTTCTTCTTCTTCTTCTTCTTAAGTAATCTTAAGCATATGACGAAAAGAGCTGTGTTTCTCGAAAGCTTATGCTACAATAAAGTTTGTTTGTCTTAAAGGTGCTACTGGGCTTTTTACTACCTTAAGTAATGTAATTCCATCTAGTTCCCAGACTTAAGCTTTCGCCTCACCTTTTACATAGCCCTAAAGTATTATCAAAGGTAACCACAAATACCCAGAAAGCACATAAATCTTCAGTAAAATGAGCTCCCTGTACTTCTTTTAGCT